GAGCATACAGGAGCTACATAGATAGCACACAACCTAAATTTTTTGCCCATGCATAGACAAAAAAATTTCTTCAGATCTCAGTGCCGTATCTAACCATTCCAAGAGCCCAAATCCCAAAAAAATAATCAAGCAAATAATCTAACCAATATCTAAAGTACAAAAGAGATCCTAAATCCACAAAAATATCAACCTACTAAACACCAAATCCCAAACACAAAACTACTTTAAAACAAGAGAAACTCAACTAGATGCTATTGTACTTAGCGAAATGCAGTAGAGCATACTGGAGTTATATACATAGCACACAATTTGTATGTATTTGAATTTTCTCATACTTAACATTCATACGTACATACACAAAACTCAAGTAATTGACAAACAAAATATCATTATTACCACATTTTAGCAATGAAAAAGACCTTCTGATGCATAGGTTTAAAGCAGCAATGTACTATGTATGTAAATATCAAAGTTTAGGAGTGAAATATGTAAATGCACGAAAATTGTTGGCATTTTATGTTATTTTCCTCCATTTTTCCTCAATCGAACCAAAGCCTACAAACAAAACTAATTGGTCTAAAACTTAATTAGAGACATTTATCTGAAGAAAAATAACAATAATAATGAAAGGAAGGCAGCACTTATAATTCCAGCAATTCAAGTAACTTCATACGTACATACACAAAACTCAAGTAATTGACAAACAAAATATCATTATTACCACATTTTAGCAGTGAAAAAGTCCTTCTGATGCATAGGTTTAAAGCAGCAATGCACTATGTATGTAAACATCAAAGTTCAGGTGTGAAATATGTAAATGCACGAAAATTGTTGGCATTTTATGTTATTTTTCCTCCATTTTTCCTCAATCGAACCAAAGCCTACAAACAAAACTAATTGGTCTAAAACTTAATTAGAGACATTTATCTGAAGAAAAATAACAATAATAATGAAAGGAAGGCAATACTTATAATTCTAGCAATTCAAGTAAGTTCAAGAGAATTTAACTAGCCTTACAACAATGAATGCTACAAAGATATATATGTACCTGGCGCGTGGCTCATTAACTAGAAAAAAGTATTCAGAGAAGTCGAAGAAGAAAACAATATTTGGTGCAATCAATATATAGGAAACAAATACTATACATTGTACACAATGTTGGGCACCACTAAAAAGCTAACAAGTGTTAACTAATAAATAAAACATCATATTTTTGAAATATTCATAAAACAATGAAGTAAAAGAACAAAACAGATATTGCAAACTGGACTACAAATCCATAATTTAACTGGAAAAAATGCTTGAACAACTGAGAAAAAAATAAAGATGCAGGTAACAGAAGACAGACTTCAGAAAAATAACACTCCAGGATAAGACAAGATCGACAGAAGATGTACACAATGCTGGGCACCACTAAAAAGCTAACAAAAGTTAATTAATAAATAAAACATCATATTTTTGAAATATTCATAAAACAATGAAACAAAACAACAAAACAGATATTGCAAACTGGACTACAAATCCATAATTTAACTGAAAAAAAATGCTTGAACAGCTGAAAAAAAAATAAAGATGCAGGTAAAGAAAAACATACTTCGGAAAAATAGCACTCCAGGATGAGACAAGATCTACATAATACAGAGAGGCGAATCATCAAAGCGTGCGATCAACAGGGATCAAGCCCAAGGAAACTAGTAGGATGGCCAGGAGAAAAGATTAAATAGCTGAAGCCAAAAAGGAAATCGAGGCAAAGCAATAGATGAGGAGCGCCCCATATGGAAAGATAATTTCTATATTTCCACTTAAGGAATGCTAAAAGTATGGTAGAAAGACGGGATCTTCGCGTTGAGAATTTGCCCAAAATAGGCATTAAGGGGGACAAAAAGTTGGGAGAAGGTGCTCATCCAAACGATCGCAGACCGTTGTTTCCACTTCTACTACACTGCAACGGAGCGGAGAAGTCCTCTCAAATCGAGGCCTAAGTGGCAATAAAGAAATAAGAGTTGTATAGCACCATCTCATAGCAAGGATAAAAAGAAAATTGGCACGCTATGGCATTATGCCTAGAGCATCCAAATTTCTTGTAAAAAAAGATTATATCTTGCCTTGCTTTAAGAGGGAAAAAAAATACCTACAACTTATCAATGTAAAATTTAGATCATCCAAACAACCCTTTTCAAGGTCAGCCATAAAAATCTGCATCCTTATTCCGATCCAGAATGATGAATGAGGGTAATCTAGACTCAGCAATATCACAAAAAATAGCTGATTAATTATATTCATTAATGCTAACCATCGAGTCACGTGATTTTTCCATATGAAATATAAATCTGAAGCCAGCACTATATTTCAATGGTTTAATAATATAGTGTAAAGTCAAAGCTATTGAAACAAGAGATTGCTCATTATATCATGTGTAAATACTTTCAGATCAAACAGAAAAAAAACAAACATTTGATAAAAGTGAATGAACCAATCATACTTAAATTAAATGTTCCAAAATAATTCCAAGGTGAGCTCTGGTAAATGCTATATTTCTCATTAATATAAAACAAAAAATTCCAAATTTTTGGTTGAATTCTCCTAAACACATCGTCATTCCCAAATCAACACATCCATTCTAATTTAAACCTTCATGCACACCTTTTTCCACGTATACCACGAAGCAAACTCGAGTGCTCAAATGTATTTTCATTGGATACTTGTCTGACAAAAAAAAATATGTGCTATTCAACAACTACATATAAAATTCTACACTAAAATAACATGTCACCATAGTCTATAAAAATTCCTAGACCAACGGTTATATTTGGAGGGAGAATTCCAAAGAATATGATCATTACAAAACTTGTATGCTGCTAATCCAATTCTTGCTTGCCATCGCTCCAAAAAATTCTACCCAAAATTCCACTATTCCGGCGAACACACTTTAAAACAACAATCACACTTTGAAATCCATAATATAAAATGCCATTACAAAAATATAATCAATCATGCATCTTTCATAATCCATTATAAATTGGAATAAGTATGATTTGAAAAGGCTTAATGATAAATTTAAGCAACTTTTTATTTCTTAACTACTTTTGAGGATTATCAACAAAATTTGCAATGGGTGATCAAAAATGTGTAAGGAAAAATAGCTTTCTTCATTTAGAAAGGTAAATTTTACTCTCTTTATGACATAAGAAGAGAGCATATTTGGCTTTTGTCAAATTTGAGTCAATAAATCATGTTATTTAAATCACTTTCACATCACTTAAAAAACTTTTATTTACAGAAATAAAACACAATTATTTTTTTAAATAAAAATAGCACACAATTCTTGAATACACAACAGAATTATCATCTTTCATCCAAATGATTTTTAAATTCTCATAAATTAAATTTTATCATGAGCAAACATATTTGTTTTCTAGTAAATGAGAAGTTCGATGATGGAAGAAATATTTAGAATAAACAAACCAAAAAAATAACTACCAAACAACAAGCTTATGATATATAAATTTGGTGAATTAAAATAGATGATTAGTTTTAAAAATTATTAAGAAAAAAATTACTATCGGAAGGGTATTTTCTCAAGTATCATGGATCAACTATTTAAAACAATAGGGGTA